TTTAAATGGAGAAGAAATATCGTGAGGCACATGAGAATCCACACAGGAGAGAAACCATTCAGTTGCTCCATCTGTGGTATAAGATTCACACAAAGCTCAGCCGTGACCAAACACTTAAGAGTTCATACAGGAGAAAAACCTTTCTCATGCTCAGTTTGTAAAGCAAGTTTCAAAGACAGACACAATTTGCTTAAACACACAAAACTGCATACTGGGGAGAAACCATTTAGTTGTTCAGTTTGTGGTAAAAGATTTGCACAAAAGACACATCTTAGACGTCACTTGAACGTCCACACAGGGGAGAAACCCTTCAGTTGTTCAGTTTGCGGTAAAGACTTTACGCAAAAGACACATCTTAGACAGCACTTGACTGTTCACACAGGGGAGAAACCGTTCACTTGTTCAGTTTGTGGCAAAAGATTTGCACAACGGGGAACTATGAAAGAACACTTGTCCATCCACACAGGGGAGAAACCATTCAGTTGCAATGTTTGTAGTAAAAGATTCACTAAGCTCTCTTATATCAAAAAACACAAGTGTGTTGGTGAGAGCAGCATCAATAAATGAAGTTACAATTCAATTTCTACCAGCAGGATTGAAGTACTGAGGGTGAGACTTGGCTCAACAATGATCAGTTTGAAACTGTGATACAGACTCCAAAATAATATCTTTTCATCTGAGATGAAGCCACTCAATCATTATTGTTGTTTTTGTTTGTGCCTACATTATTATTATGTTTTGGCATTGCATATATAATAAATGTATTAATTGATTTAGAACGTATTTAATAGTTTTGTGTAACCTAGACAGCCCTATAGTTAACATTTGTTGCTTGAAACTATGATTTAGAAATGAAATGACTTAATTTTAATTTTGCTTTTGATGGACTGCCACTTTTAACTGTTAACTAACATAGATTTTTAAGAAAATCACAAAACGGCTGAGGATCAAACCGCCAACCTTCTGATTAGCAGACAATCCGCTCTACCTCTCAGTACACTGGACTGATTGTGCCACGATCACCTACCGGAGGAGCCTGTTATGTGTCATGAGAAAGAAGGACTTGTATGCTGGACTGTATCTCGCAGTCAGCACTGACAAAGTGACATGTACGTTTATTGTATGTGAAAGCTGCTGCTGTCTATCAGTCTCTGGTCGGAGGTAGCTTGTCTAAATCTCTTGCCCTCTACGACACTGACTGGCAGCATATCGGACCGACGTGTAACCGGTCAGAAATATTCTCGTAACTGATTTTAACTACTAATTAAAGACATCCCTGTACTTGACCTTCGTACCAATAACACTAATTATTCCTAATTCAATGGACTCTTCTGCTCTTGACTTGATCCCTCGTTATGTGTAAAACATTAACAGCTGATCCTTTAACTGCTCAAACTGTCTGAGTTGCCACAGGTCTGAAATATGCGTGACATAGTGATTTAGCATAATCTCTGAGTTCCTATATTTCACATATGAGACCCAAAGTTTGAAGTTTCACGAGTTTCATCAAACTTGATTAATGGATATAACTAATCTTCATAACAATGAATGCTAATGGAGTGATTCTTAGTTATGTTCAATCCCAATGTAGAATCCGTCCAAGCTTAAAACCTTGTGGGACTCCATGACTAACTTTAGTAATTATGGAGGATTCATCGTTTACATGTACAAACTGAGATCAGTCTGATAAATAAGACTTAAACAATCTTAGTGCTTTCATGCTTCAGATTAGATTAATTATACTTTATTAAAGTGAACACACTATTAAGGGGAGGCACCAACCAGGAAAAACCTGTATTTGGACCCTCTCTTACTCACTGATATCATTAAAATATGTTATTTTAATGATATATCTGATATTATATGACACAAATTCAACTAAAATTGATCAAAATCTTTTTGAGTGATTCCACAATATTTGGCACAACCATGAATCACTAAGTATTGTTAGAAAGCTTAATTTCTTCTGAGTAAATTTATCTTATCCAAATGTGTTTTGCGGTGGTAACTACTGATGAAAAAAGAAATGGTGCAGTGAGGCCAGACTAGCAGGAGCTGGAAATTCAGTGGACATTTTTTAAAATCTAAAATCACCAATCCCTGTGAATTCTGGGCAACTTTTGTCACCTCAACATTTTCACAGATTTGACCAATCGTTGTAGTTTCCTTCCACAAAGCGTTGAGCCAATCTTTAATTACTACTTACTTCAATGTGATCGAAAATGGCCGCTGTCTTGGTGTTCAGATGCATCCCTTCTGTTCTAATCTCACTGAGAAACATTTCCTGTGATGACTTCATACTGAAAGTCACCTTGTGTTTGGCCAGTTAAATGTTTTTAATGTAGAAATGTGTTTACGTTTACTACAGTCATTCTGGTGTTTTCTCTGCAGCTAGCTAAGAAAAGTTGTAACTCGTCATGTTATAGCCTCGTTATATTCATCTTCAATAAAAATCTCAAATCTTAAGACCTCAATGTTGTCATTTCCCCCCTGTGGTATCAAAGAGAGCACATTCAAATAAACTAGGGCTGTCAAAAGATTACAAATTTTAATGTAATTAATCACAAGGTTTGGTCTGGTCAAACAGCGTTTCTTTGCAGTGTCCTGGAGGGGAGGAAGTGAAGTCCCAATGATTTTCTCCGCTGTCCTCACCCCCCTCTGTATGGTTCCAGTCAGGGCACTACAGGCCGCTGAGCAGACTGAGATACAGCTGGTCAGGATGCTCTCTATACAGGCAATGTTGTACACAGCGAGCTACCTCTGCTAATAGCTAATTGTTAGCAAAACAAGAGAGCCTTCCTCCTCTCACCTCTCACTGCAGACAGACAGCCACATCAGGGGACAGACAGCAGGATGATTAACTGATACTCTAATGTCACTATCATTATCTATTTATTGACAGTTTACATTTGTTTACAGTGAGTTTTTATAGTGACTTTGCTGTTGTAAACAATACAGTTGCTCCTCTAAAAACAACATATTAAATTCTTATCCGGTTCTGAATGTAAAGATAACCAGGCAGAACTGAATCGCTGATATGCAACTCTTTAATATTTGTATATTTATCGCAACTCATATCGTGTCTGTGCTCATATCTGCCCTCTCTGTATCCCAGGAATGTAACAGTGTATATCCTGAGACACTGAAATCAAAATATGTGAAGATTAAAATGAAACTGAGATGAAAGTTAATCATGATACTCTTTTTAAACAGCAGAGAGCGCTCTCTACTTTTGACTTTTCTTGTTCCACGTCGTACGTCACTCCTGTCAGTATTTGTATGAAGGTGCAACAGCGTCCTTCTGTTGGCGGGTCAGACTGTAAAACGTAGTCCAAATGAAGTCGCAAGTCATTGGTGTTAAAATCCAAATCCAGCTGCTGATCGTTTTGGATTTTGTGGAGTCTAAAGTCATTAAATTTGGATTATTTCTAAATAAAGAATTAAACAGTGAACACAATAACTGTAGGAGAAGTTTGTGATTTGGGGGAATTCTAGCAGATGATTTCATTTCCATTAAATGTTTTGTCTCTTTATTATGTATTTTCTTTATTTTCAACCATTATACAGACTTAATAGCCTTTCTTTCTTTCTGTTTTCTTCTCCCGACATTCAGCCATTGTTCTATTAGATTAGTACTTTTCTAAGACGAGGCTGTTTATTAAAGAGTGAAACGTTCAGGACTTCAAAGTTTAGATTTGAAGTAATAATTAAAACTTTAAAAATAATTGAATCTAGTTTTCTCCACAGAAATGAACTAAATGTTGAGATATAGGCCGTTGTGGAGTTGTTTTAGAGTTAAATATAAACTCCACTAGGAACCACAGAAATGTGCGTGTGTGTGTGTGTGTGTGGTCACCTTGTCTGGGTGTGTCCCTCTAAAAGCAGCAGGTACTGCCGCACTCTCGTCTCTGTCTCTGCTGGAAAGACTTGAACCGTCCGCGATGGATCTGTTCGCCTTTAAGACGCTTCTGTTTCTGCTCTCTTTTATCGGTAAGAAGAAATAAACCCTCTCACTGTCTGCTGAAACTGCACATTGAGCTGGGATTTATATCATTTATGTATTTTATTGATGTTCTTGTTCATGTCGTTCACATCAGAGATAAGTCTAAGTGTCGGATACTTGTGACTTTATGATTTCAGGTAGTTTTATAATGTTTCACTTCTGTTCAGGTCTGACTTTGTCCCTTCCTTCCCCTCAGGATGCTGTGCTGGGACTGACATCCTGCCGCATGGTCCTGTGGAGGCGATTTTGGGGAGAAATGTGACTTTAAAGACCCTGCTGGACAAACCAGAGTTCTTAGTTCTGCTCTGGAATTTCAACGACGGGACTGATTCAGTTAATGTTGTTACCGTGTCAAAAACTGTGCTGAAAGTGAACCCAGATTACATGGGAAGAGTGTCGGTTAACCGGACCAACGGATACCTGACCCTGACGTCCCTGAAGGCGGGTGATAGTGGAGACTATAGTCTATCCTTGACAACAGATTCGGCTGATACTTTAACCGGAGAGATAAAGCTCGAAGTTCTGCGTGAGTAATTTCTATATTTTAAAATATATATATATAGCATATATATATATATACACCTGCCAATGTGTATTTTTTTCTCAAACTAAGATTATATCGCGGCCGAATTGAACAGTGTGTCTCTGCGGTTCCGAAAACAGTTTTAATGATACACCTGGGTGTTTGCACTGTCTCTGTGGACCAATGTCGCGTTAAATGACTTGCTTTAAGAATTTTGTTCGGTCTACGGGTCCTTTCAAACAACATGCGGGTGTTTTTATGAGAGCACTTTTATTCATATAAATGTTTATTGGACTATATCCGCGCCGAGTTGAGCACCGGATCCTACAGATCCAGAAACGATGCTTCAATTTGTGTTTTTGTGCTCTGAACGTCTCTCTGAAACAATCACACCTACAATTATAAGGATTTGTAACGCAGTTTGGTTCAGTTCGGAAGCGCCAGCCACACCTGTGTAGAGCCACGGAGTGCAGATATCCCTGCGCCACCATAAAATCATAAGTGAGCAGTTTATGCGTCGCTTAGCAACCACACAGTGTAGCCGCCACTCGAGGACTATATTCCCTGTCGGAGGGAAATAGTTTAAACTTTCTCATTAGTTTTGTCTGAAATTTAGGCATATGTTGAACATTTGAGCTGTATGCCTCATTTGGCGTGGTGCCAAATAAAACTCCAGGGCTTTTATTGTGAAATGGCTGTACATTAAGTGCCGTTAAGTGAGTCCAGTAATTCATCCAGCATTTCGTTTTTCATTAGTGTTTTTTTTCCTGTTCATCAAGGTGCGGCTTTATAACCTGATTCGACCAAAAAAACAACAGGAAAAAGCAGAAAGAGCAGCAGCTTCTTGCACTGTGCTACTTAAGGGTGTGGCTCCTGACACTGCCCTGGTTGAGTGAGTGTGTGTGTGTTTAGGTTCAGGTGGGGGGTGAGGGGGGGGTGCGTGTTAATCCTGTTGACATGCTGCTTTATGCTTCATGTTTCATGCTGTTTTCAATAATACTGGTGAGACTTTACAGCTGTCAGACACTTGTTGCTTCAAAGCTTTGTGTGTGTGGGTTTTTGTTACCTGTTGGGGACCTTGTCTGGACACTGACCTGGTCGGGACCAGTAGTCCTTTTGGGCACGTTGTTAGGGTTCAGGATACGGTGTGAATTGAGGTTAAAGTTAAGGTTAGTGTTAGGCTGTACATGATGAATGAAGTCAAAGGAATGTCCCAACAAGGATATTTGTGCAAACTTGTGTGAGTATGTGTGTGTGGCCTGACTGTATTTGGGAGCATATTTCAAACTAAAGATCAGTTATTTGGGGACGTATCAGTGTCCCGTTTAGGTTAAGAGTGAGTCTCCAGGAAGTGGATGTAAGTCTATGTAATGACGTAAGTAAGTTTTGCTGCACATTTCCTGATTTTCTTTGCTTTATTTATTTATCAGTCACTAAACAAGACCTTTAAAGTTCAGTCTGTAGGATTTAAGGCCATATAGTGGTGTAGTTGCAGATCGCAACTCCCTTACATCACCCAGGAGAACCTATGGTTAAACTGAATGTGTGAAAAATGCCCCCTTTCTAGAGCCAGTGTTTGATTTGTCCCTTTTGGGCTACTGTAAAAACATGGCGGCCTCAATTAAAAGCTACCTGCGGCTTTAGTAAATGTTCCTATATTCAGGTGACTATACACTAATAAATAGATAGTTATGCATATTAGATGTATGTTCTGCTTATAGATCCTCCTGAATGTTACACAATGGAGCTTTAAGATGTGACTATATATATGTCTCTTTTATCTTTTAACTATCTTCAAAATGTGGTTGTCTCTTCAACATAGATTAGCCTAGCACGTAGTATATCTAAGTACAGGAAAGGAAGAAGTTGATCAAGGCATGCTCAACTGTTATTGGAGCACAGAGCAAAAAGGGGCGGGACTTATGACGAGTCAACTGATTAATCAGCTCGTCCAACCAGAGTTATTTCAACTACATGATATCAGTTTGAATCTTTATTTATCAAAGGATGGTTGGCAGTGGAGCCTGCATGCGTTTTCCCAGAATTCCTTCTGACTCATTCATACAGTAACCCTCATTTCCTCACATCGACCCGTGAAACCACACACTTAACAAACATTCAGAACAAAACCTCCGCTGTCTTTATGTTTGTTTGTGTATTTAGTCTCTTCCCTTTGCACCAGAATGGATCTCTGCAGGGAAATTTAGTTTATAAAAATCCTCAAAGTGTTTGAAGTTCATGGATGTGTGTTTCTCCGCTGTCGGAACTGGTTACCACTCCTTCACATTGTTCCCACACACCTACTGTTGCTTAATCATCAATAAAAAACACGCACAATTAGAAATGGAGCTCCGGGATTATTGAGAACAAGTCCAGCAGGTCTAGTCACTGCGATTTCTCTGACGTCTTCATTCACTCCATTCAAATGTTGATTTTAGAGCACAATTACGACTGTGTAAAGAGAAATCGGCCCCAGGCGAGCAGGTTGTTGAATCGTCCACCCCCATGTTTAATCATACTAACATTAACCACTCATTTGTAGGAGGATTTCATCAACAAAACTACTGATTACTTTAATCTTGATGGAAAGATCCACCCTGAAATATTTGGACAGTCATCCAAATTTGACATTTGGCAGTTTAGTTGGTGCCTTTGGATTTGTAGTTTGGTTTTTCTTCTTCTACTAGAACTGACTAAATGTCGACAGAATGGCGTGACATTTTTGGGTGCACAGTGTGTTTCTGGCATGAACGAATAAAGGCCTGTTGCTAATAAAAGCTGGATAAAAAAATATATGGTTAGTAATTCAGCTTACTGCATTAGTTCAATCTGCACAACAGTAGCATTTCTTCATGAAACTACTGTCAACAAGCTGTCAAGCTCAACACTTCCTGCAAATATTTCACAGGTGTTATACGCTTTGGGCTGATGCTTTTAATGTGAAAAATATCTGTGCAGGAAGTGGTGAGTTTCATTGACAGTGACTGGAAAAAACCACAAAGTAGAACCAACTACTGTCAAATCTGTTGTTGCACTGATGGAAAACATTATAATGATTTTATCAAAGACAGCAGTTAACATGGAGAGTGTGTTGAGTTTTTATTAACAAAATAAAAACAGGAACAGATCAGAAAACTAAAATATGATGGGAAATATTCTTTAAAAAAAATGTTTAAAAAGGGAAACTGTTGATATCCGTTTATTTACTGGCTGTATCTCAATGAGCCTTCCTACTTTTCTCTGATAACGTTTTTCTTCCACATTCAAATTCATTCATTTAACAGTTCATTAATTTGTTCCTCATGCAAATCAACCTTACACTTGTTCCTCCTGCAGAGCCGGTGTCTGATGTAGTCATCAAGTCCAGCATGCCTGAGGCAATCGAGAAAAATGACACTGTGGTTCTGACCTGCTCCGCCAAAGGCTCCTTCCTCAAGTTCACCTGGCTTAACGGCACCACACCAATCGTGGCCGACGGCAATCGGCTGTCAGTGGAAAAGGTCAGATTTAAAAAAGATTTTTGCTGTAAAAGCTGCAACTAACAATTATTTTGATTATCAGTTAATCTGCTGATTCTTTTCAAACTCAATAGATTAATCATTTGGTCCATAAAATGTCAGAAAAGTGTAACATATGTCCACCTCAGGTTTTCAGAGTCCAACATGGATGTCTTCAAAGGTCCAGTGTGTAACATTTATTCAGGATCTATTGTCAGAAATGTAATATAATATTCATAGATTTTTTTTCTTAGTGTATAATCACCTGAATATAAAAATCATTTAGTTTTCGTTACCATTGAATGAGACGTTTTTATCTACAGTATTTTCTGTTTTTTGGACTAAATTACAGAAGGAGCTGTCCAGTGCGCTGACCATCAGAAATGTTTACAGGACAGACCTGGTTGGTCCCATCTACTGCAGAGCGGCAAACAACCTGGAGACGAAGAACAGCGCCCCCTTTAACCTCACCGTCTACTGTAAGTACTGCAACCACGCTGCTCCTCCCACACAGGAAGCTACGGGTTTGGACAAAACTAAATAAAACTTAAAAGACTTAACTAAACTAATGAAAAACTCAAAACTGTTATAGCTCTGAGATGTAACGATTCTGTATTGTGGAAAACAAAGCATCTCACCAATTTGTATCACGATTTAACCGTCTCATGATATATTTTTACACTCCTACTGGGTGGTGCCTGTATAATGTTATATTTAATGTCATTACGCCCACATTATTTGATTGACAGCTGGAGTCACTTTAAAAGAGTAATCCGCCAATTTATCATTCCTATGGCATTCATTAGTCCATTAAAGAAAAGGATAATAATTAGTGCAGCAGAACCAGAAATATCGTCTTTTTTCATTCCACCAGAGCCGTCCATTCTCATGGCAGTTAGACAGTTTCTCCATTCATTTATTTACTCTACTCATTGTTTGAAACCCTGTGTTTCACTGAATGAGCTCCACACCTGTTGGACAACAAAGGTCAGACGTGAGTCAGTTGCTGTCACTCTTTCACACCCCAGCAGGTCATTTGTCAGCGATAGTTTCACTGTTTTTTTTTACTCTGAGTCACACTGATGTCTGACCTTTGACAGATTTACTGGTAATGACTTTAAACCTTGTCAGATTCCTAAAACGTTCCGATATAACTTGGTGTCTTGTGACTCCTGCAGTTTAGATTGTGGCGTGTGTTTGCAGGGCTCTCCCTCTCTCTCAGCCTGTACTAAAACCACACTGTGTACACAGCAGCCCGCACTTCCCCTCCTTCCCCATGACTAACCTGAAAGGCAGTGAAACCGCACCGACTGCTGGTTAACCCTGTTATTAATTAATCTAAACCCTCACTGCCTCAGCTCAGAAGCTGTGTTTAATGTGGTCTGGCTTCATGTTACAGTTATATTTAGGGACGGTGAGCAGCTACAATATGAAGATGTGCATGAAAATGCTTTTTACAACATTTTGCTTCTTTAGAAGTAACTTTTAAAAAAATTACAAGAAAAGGGCGTAAAAAGTGTCATAATAAATTAGAACTTAACATTTAGCTAAATGTAAGTATTTAATCTGACTTGGTATCAGCACACACAAAATGATTTAAAGGTTATATATTCGAAATTCACTTGCCACTAGATGTCGAGCACTAGCATCTCTGACCAGAAGAATGGACACTACAACCAACCAGACTCCATTGACGTAACCAGTAATTATACTTAGCAGATAATCGTAAAACCCCATTGAAAGTGGACAGAATCTCTGTTTGTCTTTCTAACAATCACCAACTCTGGTTTGGTGGAAATAAATCCTTAATTCACTGACGTAGATGATAAAAACAGCAGTTTCAGTTGTGAGCCAAAAACAGTTGATGAGAAGTTGTAGTGTAGTAAAAGCAGAAACCAACAACCGATAGATTATTTGACAATCGGGACCACCATTTATTTATTTCCCCACATGTTGTTGCTCCACAGACGGACCAGAGGCTGTCACCATCACTCCTTCGACGACTCCCCAGGTCCTGAAATCTGGCACCAACTTCAGCCTGACCTGTTCGGCCCTCTCCAGCCCACCCGCCACATTCACCTGGTACCACAGCGATAAGATTATGGAGATCGGAGGTCCCATACTGACTCTGGAAAAGATCAAAGAACATGGATTGGGGGACAAAGCGGAAGACTACATGTGCAAGGCTGGAAACACCAAAACCAAAGGCACTGTCGCTTCTCCTGCTGTTTCCATTGTTGTGATGGGTGAGTAACCGGACTCAGCTTTCTAAGGGTTTGTGGTTTGAGTCATAACATGTAGCGTGATGCCAGATGTCGTTTCCTTACAGCCAATCAATGAACCGTATAAGGTAGTCAAATCGAAGCCATCGAGAAAAGCCTTCAGTGTTGTTCTTTGCTCTTCTTTTAATGAATAAATACTCTTCATTTCTCATTTAACTGATCTACGCTAACCTCGTTAGCAGCCACCATTGTTGTATTTGAGCAAACATCTCACAGAGACCTAGCGTTAATCCACGCCCATAGCTCAGAGAGTAGCAGTACCAGTAGTTCCTCAGAAGATGCTGATTGGTCGGCACCACTGTGGTAGTTCCTCTAACGGCCACTACAGGCTGGCTCCAGGAGTGAGTCACTCTCCATAAGGGCCCATATTAAAATGTTTAACTTTACAGCAGAAATAAACATGTTTGCAGCCTGGCAAAAACCACAGTTTTGGTCTCTAGAGCTAATTTCCCCTTTCATAAGCCTCAGCTGCACTTTGTGTTTAGCAATATGCTAACATTATGAACTAACGGTGAACACGGTAAACTGTAACTGAGAATGAGGCAGAAGTTCACTGGGATTCCACCAACAGACATCTGGAAAAAAGGCAGACTGAAACCTTTTCTTGTCTCGGTCACATACCTTGGAGGCACGAGACTGTTGAATGGTATGTAGAGACCCACAGCAAAAACATGTCTAAGTTTTTGCTTTTGAGGTGTTGAAAATTTGTGTAACCCAGCAAAAGGTTCAACATGAACTTGTGCTGTCTGTAATTACTGCCAAGGAATTCCTCTTCTTGTATTTGGAGGATGTTGTTTTGAAGTTGGCGACAAACTATTTGTGTGTGTGTGTGTGAAACCTGCTGGGTTGGAGGATGGTCTTACATTATGCCCTGAAGAGTTTCTGTGTTTTTTTTTTTCCGGATGATAAGAGAGTGGAGGAATTTGCATGAAAAAGGAAACATTTTATTTTGGTGACAGTAGAGTATGAGGTGACCTACATTACAGCAGGAAATGGGGTGTGGGAATTTTTTGGGAATCACAAAGTTTGCTCGATTTCAACTTTCTGTAGGAAGTGGGTATTATTTTCTATGTTAGTACTTGATATATTTCATAGGACTTTAAAGAAAATCTTATGTTAAGATGTTTTGGTCTCTGGTATTTGAGCGAGTAGAGTATTATATGTATATATCTCTGCAGAGTCTGTCAGTAAAAGTTATATAATATATAATAAGAGCTCAATTTAAAGAGAGTACACCTTTAAAACTATGCAATGGTCTGTGTTTGTGCCGTGTTGTTACGGGGATAGATGAAATAGCATCCAGGAAGTCTAATTTGAGTAATAGACAAATGCAAAGAGTGTGAGTGTTTATCAGATGTGGAAACACGGCACAGAGTTGTAATACTACGAGACTTTCACAACTCTGGAAATGTTTTAAGGTGACAATCATTTTATTGTCGGTCACAGAGCAGCATATCAGTATAATTGTAGAAACTGGAGGAAGTTTGAAAGACTTTGGGGTTTAACAGGCAGGAAGGCTCTGATTAAAAACACTATCCAATTGCATGATGGGAAATGTAGGATGCAGTGTTTTTGGAGCTTGACCTGCAGGAATGAGTTAGCATTTCTGGTTCTTGCCCTCTGAGTCAACAGGTTTTTTTTTTGAGTGTTTAAAGATATCAACACTTTTCAACTCTCTTGCCATTTTGCCAACGTTTTGAAAGTAATCAAATGAAATCAAAGATAAAAATGAACATATTGTAGTAAAATATATATAATAGAAATAAACCCTATCTCTCTCTCCCATTGATGTTTACAGAGGGCATCTCAGGTGTTACAGTCACCGGTCCGACTGCTGTCCTCATCGCTGACAACAGCACGGCCAACATCAGCTGCCGGGCAGCAGCTGGCGTAGTGGAGAAGATGTCCTGGATGAAAGACGACAAGCCTCTAGCTGCCAGTGCCCGCGTTGTGTTTTCTAGCGACCAGAGCTCCGTGATGATCAACCCGGTGCAGAAAGAGGACAACGGAGAGTACAAGTGTGAGCTCAGGAACCACGTCAGCACAGCCCAAAACTCCTACAAGATGGTGGTCAACTGTGAGTGTTTGGTTAAGAACATGTGGTGGATGTCAGGTTTTATGGTTTTACATCAGGTTTTTCCTAGCAGAGATTTATTTTTATAGCACTTTTATGACCAGACCTCAGTCAGATGTCCATAAAAATGCTTTCAAATTCACATAAACAGCGTATATATACCCATGTTGTAATAATTATTAGGTAAACAGACTGATAGGAGTTGACTCTGATATGCTACATGTGGATATTGTCAAATGTTATCAACTGTAAGATTAGTTACAGTTTTGTATGTACAGTACAAAGGAGAGTTGAAGTGTTAAATCTGTATAGAAATGTAAAAACGACTATTTCTTGACATTAAACCCAAATAATAAACCTCTCCGTTTTAACTCCAGACGGTCCCGAAGCACCGATGGTGAAGGGTGAATTGAAGGTAGAGGTGACTGAAAAAGTGACGCTCACATGTTCTGCCGTCTCCGTCCCTCCCGCCAACTTCACCTGGAAGTTCAACGGAACAGCGACCAATGTCAAAGGGACCACGTATGTCATCCCCGAGGCTGCTTACAAAGACAGCGGAACGTACACGTGCGAGGCACACAACGCTGTCACCGGCAAGACCACCATGCACACCCACACGCTGTCCGTCAATGGTAAGATCAATGTGGAAACTGACTGAATTCCTGTCGGACTCAGTTGTACTGAGGAAACCTGTCAAGTCTGACATTGTAGATGTCCTAAATTGGCCACCATACAGAGGATAAACTAATTTGATTTGGCTAACTCCTGTCGGGCTCAACTGTAATTGAGGTTCTTGCTAATGCTGTTAGCATGCTACAATGCATAATGTTACTGTGTTTATTGTTAAATTAAACTTTTTATTTCTGCTTTCTGAGGCTAATTTTCAGTTTTTGTGATTCAGTTTTATTTTCATTCTTACGAGCAGCAGCATAGGCGTTCCTCTTTTTGTCATCCTGATTATCTCATGTTGGAATGTGACTCTTCATTTCCATTAAGTCTTTAAAATGCTACGTATGGCCTGCCATATGTACAGTATCAGAGTCAGTTATCACTATCACAGAAGTTACTCACCAGTCTGCCACCCACAATCTGACTCACATCTTCATTTCCTCACTGTGGTTTCTGCTCAGAGACATGAAGTTGTGTATAAACATGACAGCAGTCAACACACAGTGTTGACAGCAAATATAAAATATAAATTACAATAGCTTTAAAAAGATGCTGTTTTTGTCTATTTACAGATGTCTGTCAGAATATTATACGTCTGTATTTTCATTGTGATCATGATTTTGAATTGAGTGTATTTACATTGACACACATTAATTCCCTCTCAGCAGGAGATCAAGATTATAAATCTTATTGTTGTTTTTACAGCAGAGGGAACATTGGACGGTCTCTCAGACGGAGCCATCGCTGGAATCGTCATCGCCGTCCTCGTTGCTCTCGGTGCCGCCATCGGCTTAATCTTCTACTGCAGGCAGAAAGTACCGTAAGTGCCTCCTCTAAAGTCTTGATCTGGGCCATGAAGTCAGGGCTGTGACTTTGTGACGGGCGTGAGACAATAAGAACTGTGGTTTCAACTACAGTTCTCACAGCAATCAGGTTTTGATGTGCAGGGGAAACTGGGGGTGTGGGTTGCAAAACTAGTTTCAGTGTGGTTAGGGTTAGGGTCATGAGAAAGCAGAGTAAAGTGAGAAAACTAAAGGGTCTAGTATGCCCAGAACCAACTAGTTTGGAGGACATATTCTCTGTTGTCCAACAGTGCAAACGTCCAAAAAATCTCTCCTGGAAGACTTTTAGTGTGTCGCACTCTGTTAAATCTTACTGTGATAAAAATGATTACAGATTTTGCGTCGTATTTGTGTCAGGGTCAGTAGACATTGCTGCTGGCTTTGCAGAAGAAACATCACCCAAAAATTGTAGACAATTTCTAGACGGAGATTGTTGTTACCTGAGTCGGAGAACAGAAGGTGTTAAATGTTGTACAGATTGTAAAGCCCCTTGAGTCAAATTAAAATGAGTGATTTGCGGCTATACAAATAAAATTTGACTTAGCGTGAGTCAAGTAAATAATGAACTGCATAACAGCCTTTCCTGGGAAGGTTTTCCTCCAGATTTTGGCCTCTGAATTTGGGTGATCCGGCCTGGCTCACAGTCAGTGCGAGTTCAAGGCTCTGTGTAGACCGTGCTATCAAACTAGGGAGGCTGGGGAAATGTCTTCTTTGAGCTTTGTCGTGTTGAAACAGGAAAGAGACACAAACTGTTGATACAAACTTGGAAGAACACTCCTGTAAGAAACAGTAAGATATCAGTTTTCCCTTCACTGGAGCTAACAGACTTAACCCAAACCTAAAATGGACCCTGGTCTGTCCACATACTTTTGGCCAAGGAGAGAAAGGAGTGTTATTAATCCTTTGGTTTGTTTATACATGTCAAAGCAGCCTTTTGTCACTGAAACATGAAATATTTCTGCATTTCTTTACAGTTTTTCCAGTAGTTTCTTCACTCTGTGATTTCATGCTTCAGTGTCAAAATGTCTGTCGGTACAGGGCAGATATGTGTGTGTCTGTGTGTGTTATCTGACCCTCCGTGTTGGAGTCTGCGTGTTTCTGTAGCATATCTGTCAGTTTGTGCGTCTGTATGTATCTCGGTCATGTCTGCCACTTCCTGACCTTCTAGGGAATTCTTCTCATTCCTCTCACGCCTTGGCGTCTTGCAACATGTTAGACTAATGTACACACACACATAGAAATGCACTCTGTGTAGGGCTGCCACACCCTGCTGCACTGTTGCAACAGTAACTGTCATCTAACTGTTTGTGTGTCGTTGCTGCACTGGCAGATCTTTACTTTAAGAGTTCAAAATGAGGCAAAAGCAACTGGAAGAAGCTGGAGTTGACAAAACCATCTCACGTGACGTCCATTTAGTAGTTGTTCTGTAGCTTTTGATCATATTTTGTGATCTTTATCAGCAGATAAGAGTGTCCCAATGAGTTCAACTCAGACTGTTTGAGGGAACTGATTAAACCGTTCAAGTTTATAAACTCAAGAAATATAGTTAATTTAGTTAATTGCACCAATTCCATTCAGTTAATAGAACTTAAAACCAGTAAGTCTATACACTTTGGGGGATTATTAAGATTCAAGCACTTTGGATCTCTGAGTCAAAAAGGTGCTATATAAATAAAGCTTTACTTACTTACTTACTAATTATTCCATTGTTAAGTTACTTCTTTTATTAAGATATGGTGTTTTACAGTGTCGATGTCTTCAGTATTCCTTATTTTTTCTCTGTACTTGAAGGACTTCTTGACTATGTTGGCTTAAAAGCTGAGGTTTAACATTCTTGACTGAGGAAACGGCTGCGTCAACTATGAACTTTGTAGATTCATTTTGTCCAAGAAGAGCTGTAGATGTACTCAAACTGCAGCATGTCATAAGTTTGGATCTGGTAAAATCCGGGAACTATAAACTGTGACAGGAGGATCTTGTATAGACACAAAGATGAAGAGTTCTGAAAGAACTCGAACAATAGACTCAGAAGCAGCGGTTGCAGTCACATGAAGCAACAGAGTGTGACAAGCTACAGCAGATTGCATCCTTTCACACCTGAACGATATTATTCCCAAATAACAGCAGCGGCGGTGATGCAATCCTATGCCACATCCTGTCAGATTTCAGCATATAGGAACCTGCCGTCCTGAAACAAAGAACAAACAGATGAGTCAGTGACAACCTCCGACAGGCCGAAACATTCCTGACTTTGGCAATTTGAAACCAATAGTTTGCAGCTCCGACACACACGTTTGTTGAAGCATTTTGTCGGCTCGTGTCGCAGGAAATTTAAATCCACCGGTAGTGCTTTCCCTTCTCCTTCACTGTCCTTTCTTATTGGCAATCTGCGGCTCCGGAGCCCCTCTCAGGTGGCTTGCTGTTTCTTTTTTACATTTTCATTCAGCATTTTGAAGAACTAAAGTGATTCTTACATTCAGTAATACGTTACATCCAGACCGCACCTTTCCTCTATATTTTGCCGAACCTCATTAGCTGTGGTTACTAGTCTTGAGTCTCCTTAGCTAGAGAATTTATTAGAGATACCAATTCCAATACCTTAACGTAGCATATCGGCTGATTCTGGGTCTGATATATGTGCATTAATAAATATATACATTATTATTTTAGCATATACTACTAAGATATGATTGCTATCATTGTTGTATGTCTTGGCTCAGGTTAAACCTTTTTGTCAGAGGTGAAGTAGGGCTGGGCATGACTTCACTATCCTGGGGAAAAAATGGAGAAGGGGACGCTGTTGGGGATTAACAGGGTCCCGTTACAGAGCTAATAAATTGATGATATTGGTGCACAGACACTTGTACTTGGACGTCTTTAAAAACATCCTGGAAGATTGTTTGTAAAAAAGGATAACCCCTGTTTGTCTGTGCGGGTGTGAGCTTTTAACTCTTCTCCTTTGACCAAACGCTCCCATCCCCCACTCCTCCGACTTCTTCTTTAACAAACTCTGCCGTCAGTCAGCCGGAGCGCTGGAGGAGAACGGATGGTCACGTGATGCCAAAGGGGTTATCAGGTGTCAGGTAGAGCAGTGTTCGGCTGTAGAGCGCCTCGGGGATGATTGACTCGTCTGTCCCTCCGTCATTTTAACTTCCTCGCTGTTAGAAGGTGGAAACACTGATGACAGCAGGCCTTTGTACTGAGGTAGGCCTCCACGTTGAAGGAGGTCTAAGGTGAAGGATCCAGACTCTCTGTGTCTTTCACAACTTCAGGCGAGGGTTTGAGACACCTGAGTCCACCTGTAGAGACAGTAAACTAACACAGCAGAGCTTTTTCTGTGTAGCTGAAAGTAGAATAAGTGAGTGGAAGACAAAATCAAAGAAGTCAGTCAAAGAGATGGAAAGACAAGGAAGGCAAGACTTTAATTATAACCTTCAGCCATTTCCAGACATTGAGATGTTCCTGTGTGATAACCTGCATACAGTGTAAAGAGAAGCCATTAAGGGCGTTGACAGCAGGGCGACGTCAGCTGGTGACAGATAGACGAACAAGGCCCATTACATTACGCACTGTGGAGTTATTGAAAAATAACACACTACAATGAGGAAGTTTACATTACTTTTTGATCCTTTCAACCTACAACCCGTCAGCAGTAATTTGGGAGTCTTGTCTTCCTCAAGGACACTCCACATGGACCAGAGGAGGCGGGGATTGAACCACCAACAATGACTGACTGAGTGCGTTATTTTTCGTAACTGCACAGTTCAGAGTAGATTATCCTGTTTATATCACGGCCACTTGACCTTGTTTATTTATCTGTAGAGGGAGTGTTCTCATCAACCTGAGAACAAACACTAATCCTTTAAGGAGAAGCTTATCTGAAAGCCTTCCAGCTTCAGGTTTTCAAATAAAAACGCCATTTAAAGAAAAAATGACCTCACTGCACAACAATGTCCTTGTCCTGAAGGTCTCAAACCGGTTCTCTTTAGCTTACAATAACACACACACACACACACCTGTTGTAGGGGGGCCGTGGGAGAGGGGAAAGGACATGTGTTCGGAAATCAAAATAAAGATCTCGTCCTCTGATAATCAAACAGGAGCCCGTATGAGCTTGCCACCTGCCCCAAACATGCCAATCCACGTCTGAGAAAACCTACTGCAGTTTAGGAAGGGATTTAACCGATAACATTAGTATCAAAGGGCTTAAAAAAGCCCCACAAAACCTGATTTGTGCTTCCAGTTTAAACGCATCGAGCTGTGTTGAGTTGGCCTGAAATGGACCATAATCTGTGTATCATTTGTTCTTTTCATAGTCAATATAGAATAAAAAAAATTTTATTTGGTTATCAATGGTTACGTACTTAGGCTGCCGACTTTTGTGTGTTTTACACAATTTTTCCTGATTTTGGAATCCATACTGAATACGAAAAGAACGAATGATACATGCATGTATCGACCAAGGGCATCCAACTGCCTCAGAGACGATTGCGGTGGCATCAGATGGATCTGTGTGTCTGTTTGACTGATGACGGGCTTAGCTGCACACACACTAATGGCGACAGGATGCTTCGGCTGCATTTACACAAGACCCGTAAAACGCGTCTCGTCCTGCAGGGTTGTGCGGAGGTGTGGCCGTGTTTATTTGTGCTTTAGATTGTAAACAACCGCTGGGAGACAATCAGAAAATAACGTTTAATTTCTCTCCTCATTCATTCTCTATGTAGCTCGACCAAAGCTGCTAACGGACACATCCTGCATAGAACGCCTGTGAAGTGTTATTTTACAACAAAATGAGCTAATTAGCATTAGCAACCACAGCTGTCGGGTTTAGTAGGAAGCATCTCGTCGTCTCGGTTGAATCTTTTGGCTTTAAT